CGAGGGAGAAAAGTGGGGTGAAGTGGAGGGTGAGGAAGAGCTCTGTCCTCTTCGCTCTCCCTTCCTGTGAGGATGGAGGAAGCAGAAATGGCTTTTTGCCTTTCTTTGCCGCCCGTTGCGTGGTCGGTCTCTGCTCGTTGCCTTCCCCCGGTGATGGACCGGGTGATGGCAGAACTGGTTCTGCCTTTGCTTCTCAAGCAGGCAGGATTTATTATTATATTTTTTTTTTATCCTTTCCCTTTTTCTTTTCCAAATTACTTGGCGCTCATCATGTCCACCACCCCGAAACATCCCACCGTCACCAGGAGGAGGGAACTGGGGACCAAGGAGATCCCGTGAAGCGGAATCTTTTAATATTCCGTGGTAAAAATCAACATTTGGGATAAATGTGTTTCGAGCCCTGTTTGTTTCTTTTATTATTTTTCCCCTCCTCAGGAGGCCGTAACGAAGCGTTTCGGCGTTCCGGGCTCCCAGCTGCGGATCTACCTGCATTACCAACCCTCCTACTACCACCTGCACGTGCATTTCACCGCCCTGGGTTACGACGCCCCGGGCAGCTCGGTGGAGAGAGCCCATCTCCTGGCAGACGTGATCGACAACCTGGCGACGGACTCCTCGTACTACCAGAAACGGGCTCTCACCTTCGCCCTTCGGGCTGACGAACCTCTCTTTAAAAAATTCCAGGAGGCGGGAAGGGCGTGAGCCAGCTGAGGCGTTTTTGTATCGGTTTGTTTTTAATAAATGCCCATTTTTATTTTGTTTTTTTAAAAGGTTTTGGTTCTTTTAACTCCGGTTTCGTACACATGGGGGCTGACAGCCCGTTGCTATAGAAACCGTGTCTTCTACTCAAGCCAATTAAAACGTTGATTGAGTAACCTCGTCGAGTCGCGCCCGTTTTTGCCGAAGGGATCCGAGCAAACCCCTCTGTTCTCGGAAAACTTCACTTACTTCCTACCGGATTTCCCCCTGGGGCAGCAGGATTACGCCTTTCCTGAAGCAGGGAGGGGTTTCTTAATCCAAATAAATCAAATTACTAATTCCAGTCCTCGCCCTTCGGCAAGATACCAACATCTTCCTCCCTCCTCGAGTCTGTTTAAACCGTAGAGGTGGGAAAAACTTGGTTTCTGAGGCTCAGCTCTTGCTCGACCTCTGAAAACTTCATGAGTTCCCGCTGCCAAAAAGGGCTCCGGTTTCTGGCCAGCCGGTAAGCAGGGATGTAATTGCAGGAATCATCTCGCTGCCTGCCCTGGTTATTTCTTCCTTTCGACGTGCTTGAAGGGTTTATTTTTGCTGATAGGGGTTGGTTTAGGAGCTGAGGAGCTGCTCTGGGGCTGGATGTGGAGGTGGTTGTCTGTCCCTTGGCTCTCTTTGTCCCTAGGTTTGAAGTTTCGAAGGGGAAGGGATGATTTTTTTTTTTGCTATCAGAGTGTTTCTTGTGCTGAGGGGAGAGCTTGGTCTCCCCAAAACATCGTGGTTTTATGTACCCACCAAAGAAGGGAGGTGGTTAAACACCAACTGGGGCCATCCTGTCACCTGTGTTCTTCAAGTATTAAAAAACCCCACAAACTCAAACCTGTCTTGAAATTTTTTGAGGGCTGCAGGGTGTTTTCTAAACCATTTTATCATCAGAATTTCCAAATAGCTTTGGACCAGGTGATGGCAGAGCTGGTTCTGCCTTTGCTTCTCAAGCAGCCAGGATTTATTATTATATTTTTTTTTATCCTCTCCCTTTTTCTTTTCCAAATTACTTGGGGCTGATCATGTCCACCACCCCGAAACATCCCACCGTCACCAGGAGGAGGGAACTGGGGACCAAGGAGATCCCGGGAGGCGGAATCTTTTAATATTCCGTGGTAAAAATCGACATTTGGGATGCATTAGAGTCACCAGGGTTTTATTGGAAAGCCATTTATTGGTTTCAGATGCAATCAACCTCGCGGGGAACCCCGAGAGACCCAAATATCCTCCGAGCAACCCCCCGATTCCCGCCGAGCTGCAGCCCCAAGAATTACCCCGCAATTGTCTCTGAGCCTGGTGGTGATTGAAACCAAATTGCCCCGTCACCGCGGGTAAAACTCGTGAGGAAACCCCATCCTAGGGAGGAAGATGCTCTTCAAATATTGATGCGGGTGCTCGATTCGCCTCGGCGATACCGGAGCTGCCAGCTCGGCGGGGGTTTTATCGATTTATCCAATTTATTTGCGTCAACATCGTCAAGTGGGGCTGCCAGCTTCTCGTTATTCCGGTCCGATAAGGAAAATCAATTTCAGTGCCATCGGCCATGAGCTCCCGATATTTTGCGTTATCCCCTGTGGAAAAATCAGCATTAAAATCATTTTGGGGGTGGGCAAAACACACCTCGGGATGGATTTTTAGCCATGGAGGGGAGTGTGTGTGTGTTGTGAAATCCATCAATTCAATCCATCAATTAAAGAAATCTATCGATTAAATCTATCAATTAAAGGAATCCATCAGTTAAGGGAATCTGTCAATTAAAGGAATCCCATCAGTTAAAGGAAATCCATCAATTAAAGAAATTTATCCATAAAAGGAGTCCATCAGTTAAAGAAATCTATCAATTAAAGGAACATATTAATTAAAAAATCCATCAGTTAAAGGAATCCATCAGTTAAAGGAAATCCATCAGTTAAAGAAATCCATCAATTAAAGACTGTCAGTTAAAGGAATCCATCAATTAAAGGAACACATAAATTAAGAAATCTATCAATTAAATAAATCTGTCAGTTAAAGAAATCTATCAATTAAAGAAATCTGTCAGTTAAAGGAATCCATCAATTAAAGGAATCCGTCAATTAAAGAAATCTATCACAGAAATCCATCAATTAAAGGAATCTGTCAGTTAAAGAAATCCATCAATTAAAGGAATCCATCGGTTAAAGGAATCTATCAATTAAAGAAATCTATCAAAGAAATCCATCAATTAAAGGAAATCCATTAATTAAAGAAACCCACCAGTTAAAGAAACCCACCAATGCACACGAAATCCATCGATTACATCAAACCAGGGGCGTCGCTTTGAAGCGATGCTTATCTTGGGGAGGGGGAGAAGCGCCACGACCCCCCCCCAGCAGAGGCGGCTTTGCCCCATCCCCTGCCAAAATTCGCTTTAATTTATTGGGCTTTTTGTATTTTTCTTTTTTTTTTTTTT